CAAACTCTAATCTGGCCTTCCTGTTTTTGAGGCTCACCAATGGTTTACATCTTGTGGTGAACCCTCTGTATTCACTCTGGTGAAGTCTTCTCTTGATTGTTGACTTTGACACACATACACCTACCTCCTGGAGAGTGTTCTTGATCTGGCCAACTGTTGTGAAGGGTGTTTTCTTCACCAGGGAAAGAATTCTTCGGTCATCCACCACAGTTGTTTTCCGTGGTCTTCCGGGTCTTTTGGTGTTGCAGAGCTCACCGGTGCTTTCCTTCTTTTTAAGAATGTTCCAAACAGTTGTTTTGGCCATGCCTACTGTTTTTGCTATCTCTCTGATGGGTTTATTTTGTTTTTTCAGCCTAATGATGGCTTGCTTCACTGATAGTGACAGCTCTTTGGATCTCATCTTGAGAGTTGACAGCAACAGATTCCAAATGCAAATAGCACACTTGAAATGAACTCTGGACCTTTTATCTGCTCATTGTAATTGGGATAATGAGGGAGTAACACACACCTGACCATGGAACAGCTGAGAAGCCAATTGTCCCATTACTTTTGGTCCCTTAACAAGTGGGAGGCACATATGCAAACTGTTGTAATTCCTACACTGTTCACCTGATTTGGATCTAAATACCCTCAAATTAAAGCTGACAGTCTGCAGTTAAAGCACATCTTGATCATTTCATTTCAAATCAATCCTGGTGGTGTATAGAGCCAAAAATGTTAGTATTGTGTCGATGTCCCAATATTTATGGACCTGACTGTATATTTGGACACAGGCACAATTTTCATAATTTTGGCTCTGTATGCCACTAAAATAAATTAAAATGAAATAATCCAAATGAATTTGAAGTGCAGACTTTCAGCTTTAATTCAAGGGGTTGAACATAGATATGAAGTACAAATTTTAGGCACTGCAACCATTTTTATACAGTCCCTCCATTTTCAGGTTCTCAAATGTAATTGGACAAGTGAATATAATCAAATAAAATGTTAATATTTTGTTGAGAATCCTTTACTGGCAATGACTGCCTGAAGTCTGGGTCCAAAGACTGGGTTTCCTCCTTTCTGATGCTTTGCCAGGCTCTAACTGCAGCTGTCTTCAGTTGTTCTTTGTTTGTGGGTCTTTCTGCCTTTAGTTTTGCCTTCAGCAAGTGAAATGCATGCTCAGTTGGGTTGAGATCATGTGATTGGCTTGGCCATTGCAGAATATTCCACTTCTTTTCCTTCAAAATCTCCTGGGTTGCTTTTGCAGTGTGTTTTGGATCATTGTCCATCTGTACTGTGAAGCGCCGTCCAATCAACTTTGCTGCATTTGGCTGAATCTGGGCTGACAGACATTGCAGAATTCATCCAGCTGCTTCTGTCTTCTGTCACATGATCAATAAACACCAATGACCCAGTGCCACTGGAAGCCATGCATGCCCATGCTATCACACTGCCTCCGCCTTGTTTTACAGATGAAGTTGTGTGCTTTGGATCATGAGTTGTCCCAAGCCTTCTCCACACTTTTTTCTTCCCCATCATTCTGGTACAGATTAATCTTAGTTTCATCGGTCCAAAGAATGCTTTTCCAGAACTGGTCTGGCTTTTTTAGATGTTTTTTGGCAAAGTCTAAACTGGCTTTTCTATTCTTAAGGCTTATGAATAGTTTTCACCTTGTGGTGAACCCCCTGTATTTGCTCTCGTGAAGTCTTCTCTTGATTGTAGACTTTGACAATGATACATCTACTTCCTGGAGAGTGTCCTTCACTCGTATGGATGTTGTGAATGGGTTTTTCTTTACCATAGACAGAATCCTGTGATAATGCACTGTTGTCTTCCTTGGACACCCATGCATTTTTATGTTGTTTAGCTCACCAGTGCGTTCATCTGTCCTCAGAATGTACCAAACCATTGATTTGGCCACTCCTAATGTTGCTGCAATCTCTCTGATGGATTTGTTTCATTTTTGAAGCCTTACAATGGCCTGTTTCACTTGCATGGACAGCTCCTTTGAACGATGATGTAGGTTCACAGCAATAGATTCCAAATGCAAATACCACACTTAGCATCAACTCCAGACCTTTTACTTGCTTAACTGATGAAGAAATAACAAAGCAGTAGCCCACACCTGGCCATGAAACAGCTTTTGATTTAATTGTCAAATTACTTTTTGTCCCTTGAAAAAGGGGGGATGGCTACTCTGAAGAGCTGTAATTCCTAAACCCTTCCTCCAATTTGGATGTACATACCCTCAAATTAAACCTGAGAGTGTGCACTGTTTATATCCATTATATAACTATAGCTTGAATATGTTTTGGTAAATACCTGAAAATAACTAAAATTGTGCCTGTGTCAAATATATATGAACCTAACTGTATGTGAAAAGTGTGGCATGCATTTGTATTCAGGTAGGCCACTTCGGTCTGGTCAGGTGATCTTTCGTGTCAGTCAATGGTGGCTGCAGAAGGGAGGAGCCTATGGGTGACGTTACCACTCCCAGAATCCCTAGCTGTTGTCAATTGCTCGCTCCTCTCCCCTGCAGCCGCCACTGGCTAATGCAGGGGAGATCACATGACTGGACCAGAGTGATCTGAAAATGGGTAAGTATACAGAATTTTGATTACACAGCTTAGTTAGTATAGGTGTTAGGAGGGGCCCATTTTAAGGCGACTTAGCATTTGCCTGGAATTCCATTTTAAGCTTTGTGCCTGGAGATGAACTGTAACGCTAGCATTACACAGGGATGTTGCGAGTTTAGTCAGTTTCTAAATGCGATTTGAGTAGCACCTATGGTGTGAATCAGGTGCAGGTTCAGCTGTGATTGCAATGCATTTCATACAGGTGCGATTTGGCTGTAGTCATATCTCTGTCATGTACAGCCTAGCTTGGCCGTTCGCGTGGTGGTCCAAGCACGTCGCGCCTTCTCCGCTTGAAGTAAGTGCAGAAGAGATCTGCCGAGAAAACTACAAATGTACATCCCGTAGGTGATCGGACTTGCTGGGAAGTTCAGTACAAAGTCTGGCCAGGTTGGCAGAAGGTGTGAGTATGAGGGGGGGCAGGGGGGGGGGGGTGATAATGGCTGTGAAATCATATGGGGTATCCATCTATAGGCGACACCTGGACAGCCCACTCCCTCTGTGCCTGGTGCTCAGTATTATATATTCCTCTCCCTACCCTGGAATGCAGGTCAGAAACATGGGGCACAACTAGCAAAAATGCACTGGAATGGCACTGCATGTGAACAGATAAGCATTTCCCATGCAGTTCACAATCAACTCTATGGAGCGCAAAAATCAGATCGCAGCATTCCAAACTCGCACACAACCATTTTTTAAAACTGCACTGCGTGTAGACTGCATATATGTGAATGCCCTTCATAGGAAAACATTTTATTTACCATGTCATGCGATTCAGAGCAGTGTAAAACGCATCCAAAACTACATCAGTGTGAACCAGGGCTAAAGCAGAACTAGACAGGCTTTAGCCAGAATTCGATTTCTTTTTTTTTTAATTTAAAAAATACCCTTCTATTGCCTTTACCTACTCCCATTTTTGTTGCTGCTGTGATCTGACAGCTTGTTAGAGAGCGACTATATTCATTCTCCATGGTCCCACTGTATATAGGAATGTAGACACCCTCTGTGGCTCACTCCTGAGATGGACTATGGGGTTTGTAATGCATAGAGCATGTGCACGACGGCAAATAATGTACACTGGTCATTCCAAACAAACAGAAGTGAGAGGGGAAAAAGGAGAGGTTCAGGAGCTCATGGAGAATGTTACTAATAGTTACATAGTTAGTCTGGCTGAAAAAAGAAAAAAGCCATCCAGTTCAACCATAAGAAAAAAAAAAAAAGTTATAATCCTACACCAACAGTTGATCCAGAGGAAGGCAAAAAAAAACCAGCAAAGCATGATCCAATTTGCTCCTGCTGGGAAAAAAAAATTCCTTCCTGATCCCCCGAGAGGCAATCGGATATTCCCTGGATCAACTTTACCTATAAATGTTAGTATCCAGTTATATTCTGTGTAACTAAGAGAGAATCCAGGCCTATTTTGAAGCAATCCACTGAGCTGGCCAGAACCAACTCTTGAGGGAGTCTATTCCACATTTTCACAGCTCTCACTGTAAAGAAACCTTTCCGTGTTTGGAGATTAAATCTCTTTTCCTCCAGACATAAAGAGTGCCCCCTTGTCCTCTGTGATGTCCTCAGGGTGAATAACTCTACACCGAGTTCACTATATGAACCACTAATGTATTTATACATGTTGATCATATCCCCCTTAATCTCCTCTTCTCAAGAGAGAATAAATTCAGTTCCTCTAATCTTTCCTCATAGCTGATCTCCTCCATGCCTCTTATCAGTTTGGTTGCCCTTCTCTGTACTTTCTCCAGTTCCCCAATGTTCTTTTTGTGAATTTGTGCCCAAAACTGAACTGCATATTCCAGATGAGGTCTTACTAATGATTTGTACAGGGGTAATATGATATCTCTCTCTGGAGTCTATACCTCTATTAATACAAGAGAGGATTTTGCTCCCTTTATAAACCGCAGCTTGTCATTGCATGCCATTATTAAGAATAAGCATGTTGTTTAGTGTCACTTTAATAAAAGATCATGTAGGGTCCATTCACACTTGCGCGACTCCAAAATTGTGCGATTTTCATTGCGATTTTATGTAAGTCTGACACGACTTTGGACAAGTGCAACTTTGACTAAATATGATTGTTTCTGCTGTACAAAGTTGCACACAAGTAACATGTACAACTTTCAGGTGCAATTTTCATGCAACTTTGGAGGGATAACACTGAAGTTTATTGTCCTCAAGTCGCATGAAAATCGGACCAAAGTACTGCAGGAGCCACTTTGCAGTTGCACAGATATGAATGGCACCCTTTGGGAAACATGGAATGCGACTTTGGACCCCAAAGTCGCATGCAAAGTTGCACAAGTGTGAAAGGGCTCTAAATGCAAGCCAGGACCATACAAAGTGACAATAACCTCTGCACACAGCCCCCACCTGCATTTTCCGGATGTTCTCCCTCTCCAAGTTCTTCACCATCCCATCTACCGCATTCTGTAGCCGGCTCTGAGCTTCTTCTGCCATTTCTGTGCAGCAACACCATGCGCTCCAAGGGCATGAGACTCTACTTCCGCCTTCAGCACGTCACTTCCAAGACAGCAACACCATGCGCTCCAAGGGCATGAGACTCTACTTCCGCCTTCAGCACGTCACTTTCAAGACAGCAGGAAAGCCTTATTCGGGCGCCATCTTTCTTCTGGGCATGCTGTCCTTTCCTAATAATGACTATACCCCAGCAAAATGTTCAACGAAATCAGAGAAAGGATATGTTCCCAGTAATGAACCACTGCACCGACTTATGAACGTATACATATACACAGTCACAGTAGGAAATTCATATTGCTCAAATTAGCCCTGTTTCCGGAATAGACCTACACAAAGATGGCGGTGTTCGTGCGGAAGACCCACCTACTCAGAACGTCATCACTGGGTTCCCATTGTTTCGGCGCGCTGCACCGTGTGTGCTGAGAACGTTGTGTGTGCGGAGAGGAGCGAGGACACAGCTTCACCATGAGCAAAGCGCACCCACCCGAGTTAAAGAAGTGAGTCGGGAACCGGGGTGGGGTATGGGAGAGGCCTCCACAGGGATATGTCCTGGATCAGTCATCGGGCTGCGGCCTTCCTGCCCTCATCATACTCCTTTCATTGTGCAGCGCTGGAGGCCGACCAGTCCCTGCATAGAGCCCCATGTTACATCCTGGACTGGGGCCGAGACAGCCATGTTTATTTATTCAATATACGTTTTATATATATACTATCATCCACAACTATAGTGACAATGATAAAACTGGAGATTAACATGGCATTCAGGATCAATCTGAGTACACATAAAGACCATCAGCTTGCACACCCACCAACTTGTTTTTATGCCCCCCCTGCATACCCTGTGGTGTTGTAAGCACACTTTTTTATACCCGCGAATTCAGTGCCCTGCTGACATGATTTGGTCAACAGACATTGCTGGGTCCCTCGCCACCATCTTCCTTGTGATATCATTGAGATGCCCATTGGCTCTTCTGGGTTTAGCCGGGAAGATCTCGAGATGACGTGCCGCTCGGCCCACCACCTTCCAACATAATGACCAAAGGCCTCCTGGAATATGTGATGTACATATCCCAGGAGGCCCAGCGACCACTGTGCTTGTCATTCATCTAGACCAGGGGTAGGCAAGCTTTGTGAGGTGGAGAGATACCTGAACAACATGAAAGGGAACAGAGCACCGGGGTTCGACGGCCCTTTTTTCTTTTCTTTTTTTTTGGTCCGATTTAGAACCTATATCAGGTTATCATTTTTTATTTATTTTTTTTCCACTGGGGAGTTTTTTTTTTTGTTTTTTTTATTATTTCCTGGCCTGAAACCACAGCAGGAATTAATTGAAAATCTTCCCAAAGTGAGGTAATTTGCTTGCTTGGTCTTGGTGGTAATGGTCACAGAACAAATAGGGGTGAATCTCCCCAGAAAGGACACAGACAGAAATAAAAATGTGATAGAGGCTCTATCCCAGGGGTGGGCAAACTTTTTGACTTGAGGGCCGCAATGGGTTCATATATTGGACCCGGGGGCCGGACCAAGAGTAGATGAATGATGTGTATGTGTCATCCATAGTAAGTATAGTAATATTCCCCCATAGTAAGCATAGTAATTCATCCCCCATATAGTAATTCATCCCCCATATAGTACCGTAATTCATTCATTCCCCCTATTAATTCATCCCCCATATAAAGTCCCCAAGTCCCCCCTGTGTCAATTCACTTACCTTTGCTCCGCGCGTTCCTCTCGCCGTGTTCCCGCGCCGGTCCGGTGTAGCATGAAAATCTGTCTCCTATGAGGATCTGTCCCCCTCGACGTATCTGCGCATGTGCCAGTTTCAGGCATTAGCAGCCGATCGGCGATCTTCGGCACATGCGCAGATACGTCGAGGGGGACAGATCCTCATAGGAGACAGATTTTCATGCTACACCGGTCTTCAGGGCGGACTGTGAGAGGAGCCTAGCTCCCCTCACGTTCTCCGCGGGCCGGATTAAAAGGTCCGCCGGGCCGTAGTTTGCCCATTGCTGCTCTATCCCTTCAGTACTCTGCAGTAAAAGCACAGGTTTATATAAAGCAGAACCAAAGTTTGCACTGCTTGCCTCTTCTCCAGTGAACCAACACCTGTGATGTCCCTCGCTGGCATCTTCTCCATGGCTTCCTGAGGATGCTGGGTTTTCAGCAGTTTTGACTAGCCAGTACAGGATGGCACAACTTCCACACATGCACAGGAGATCATTTGTTCCAGCATACAGGAACGATGTGGAATAATGCAGGACTGTTAAATCCTAACTTGTTTTACTAAAAATGCCTTTTTGTATTGGTAATGAAAGGAGGTTATGGGGATCATCCAAGTAGGAAGACAGATGGGAACAAAACCCTGAAAGAGGCTCGAATCCTTCACTGGTCTACCCAAAATGAAATAAGTTTTGGTTGGATTGGACCTTTATTAATCCAAAGCTGACCAGCTTGTTCCTGTTTCTCAGTGAGAGCAAAAAAAATTTTCTCACGGTACACAATTCAGGGTGCTAAGTATCATTTGTTTCTTATGTCTGCATTAGTCAATAAATGTCAGCCGCATTGCTAGCCAAGGATGCCATTAGGTATAGTAGGAATGATTGTGTTAATGGTCTAATGTTTTTAATACTGGTTTAAAATATCCTGTTTTTCTTTCTTTTAGGTTCATGGACAAAAAATTATCTTGTAAGTATTTAGCTGCAATACTGAGGTGGTGATATACAGTGCTCAGCATAAATAAGTACACCCCTTTTGAAAAGTAAAATTTTAATTCATATCTCAATGAACACAAGAACAATTACCAAAATTTTGACAGAAGCAATTGAGTACTTTCCGTGATACTTTTTTTTATTTGCACTAACATACAATTGTGAGGACAAGCTTTCGGGGAATGTCCCCTTTTTCAAGGTCCAAGCAGTACTAATCACAAAGTTTTAGCAGAATGTTAGAAGAGATGTGGGGAATGAAAAAAAAAAAAAGAGAGACTAGAGATAAGACACGGCAAAAAGCACAGACTGCAAATAAAAAAAGTATCACGGATAGTACTTAATTGTTTCTGTCGCAAATGCACTAATACGGCTACAATCACGTCAAGCAAAATTTTGACTGAACTGAATTTTATAGAACATTTGCTTAGCTCATTACATGAAAGTAAGGTTAATATAACTTGGATTACAAAAGCTTCAGTTTTACTCAAATTAGTTGATGCAAAAATGAATACACCCCACAACAAAAACTATATCTGGTATTTTGTATGACCTTCATGATATGTAAGGAGAGCACCAAGTCTTCTAGGTATGGAATGAAGAAATTGGTGACCTATTGCAACATCTATCTTTTTCCATTCTTCAAGCACAGCCTCTTTTAGAGGCTGGATGAAGTGGATGCTCAACTTGTCTCCTCAGAATTCCCCATAGGCGTTCGATTGGGTTCAGATCAGGAGAGATACTTGGCAACGAAATCATTTTCATCCTGTTCTTCAGAAATGCAACAGTGGCCTTTAGATGTGTTTTTGGATCATTGTCATGTTGGAAAAGTGCACGACGACCAAGAGCATGGAGTGATGGTAGCATCTTCTCTTTCAATATAGAGCAGTACATCTGTGAATTCATTATATCAATGAAATGCAACAGCACTCATGCAGCCCCACACAAAGACACTATCACCACCATGTTTCACTGTAGGCACCATGTATTTTTCATTGTATTCCTCACCTTTGCTATACCATACAGTTTTGAAGCCATCAGTTCCAAAAACATTTATCTTGGTCTAAGCACTTTAGAGTACAGAGTCCCAGTAGTCTTATTTTCATCATGGGCCCTAGCATATTCTTGGTGGGATTTTTTGTGCATGGGCTTTAGGAAAGACTTCCTTAAGACGACACCCATGCATGCCATTCCTCTGCAGCGTACGTCGTATTGTGTCACGGGAAACAATCACCCCAGTTTGGCTTTCTACTTTAGCTAACTGCAGTAAACTTGCAGTTAAAATTTTATTCAACCCTTCTCATCAGAAGACTCTCTTTTTGAGGTATTAACTTTTGTGGACTGCCTGGACTTGAGATGGTTAAATTTTTGTGTCACTTTTGCTACAGTATTCTGAGAAGTTAAGCTTCGCTGATCTTCTTTTAGCCTTCACCTTTTCTTGTGTAAAGAAATTTTCTTTCTCAGGCCTTGTGACATTTCTCTTCCATGTGGTGCCATTGACGGCATGAAATGGGAAGGGGTTTTCTTTAAGTAATGCTCTTTTATAATCAACTGTCTACTGGACATCCGTTTAATGAAAAATTAGACTCACCTGTAGTTGAATTCTTGTTAATTATGATTTTGTTTTCTAAAATTTAGCTTTCCTTCTAAGACTTTCATTGGGGTGTATTCCTTTTTGCAAAATGGTCTTGAATGAATTTGTTAGGAAAGATACTTTTTTGTGTGTGCAAATTAACAAAGCTTGCTTGCAATCAATGGCCTGCATTTGTGGGAGAATTTTGTAGTATAGTGTCCCATAGAAAAATGTTGATTCTGAAAGGAATGTAGTTTTTCTGACAAATCTGTTGGGGTGCTTGTGTGCGTATATCTCGTCACGTCAGTTAAACTCCTGGGATATTGATCTGGTCAATTAAGTAGTTTCAGCTGCTTTGGTGTTCAGGAAATTAACAGGTGCACTAGATGGGCAACAATGAGATGACTTTCAAAACAGGAATGGTTTTACAGGTGGAAGCCACTGACATTGTTTTACTATACTCATTTTCTGACTTTTTCACTAGTTTTGCATTTGGCTAGGGTTAGCGTTACTACTGGTAGCACAAGACAATACCTGGACCCTACAGAGGTTGCACAGGCAGTCCAACTCCTCCAGGATGGCACATCAATACGTGCCATTGCCAGAAGGTTTGCGGTCTCTCAGAGCATGGAGGAGATTCCAGGAGACAGGCAGTTACTCTAGGAGAGCTGGTCAGGGCTGTAAAAGGTCCTTAACCCATCAGCAGACTGGTATCTGCTCCTTTGTGTAAGGAGGAACAGGATGAACACTGCTAGAGCCCTACAAAATGACCTCCAGCAGAATGTCTCTGACCAAACAATCAGAAACCGACTTCATGAGGGTGACCTGAGGGCCCAATGTCCTCTAGTGGGCCCTATGTTCACTTTGCGGCACCATAGAGCTCGATTGACATTTTACCATTGAACACCAGAATTGTCAGGTCTGCCACTGGTGCCTTGTGCTTTTCGCAGATGAGAGCAGGTTCACCCTGAGCACATGTGACAGATGTGAAAGGGTCTGGAGAAGTCGTGGATAATGTTATGCTGGCTGTAACATCGTTCAGCATGATCGTGTTGGTGGTGGATTAGTGATGGTCTGGGGAAGCATATCCATGGAAGGACGCACAGACCTATATAGGCTAGACCAGGGGGTCTCCAAACTATGATCCTCCAGCTGTTGGAAGTACTACAAGTCCCATCATGCCTCTGGGAGTCTTGCCTGTGACTGTCAGTCTTGCAAGGCCTCATGGGACTTGCAGTTCCTCAACACCTGGAGGGCCATTGTTTGGAGACCCCTGGGATAGACAATGGTACCCTGACTGCCATTAGGGATCGGGATGAAATCCTTGGATTCATTGTCGGTATCCCTACGCTGGTGCAGTGGGTCCTGGGTTCTTCCTGGTGCACTACAATGCCAAACCTCGTGGTGAGAGTTTGCAGGCAGTTCCTGGAGGTTGAAAGAATTGGTACCATTGAATAGCCCCCACGCTTGCCTGACCTAAATCCAATAGAACATCTCTGAGATCATGTTTTGGTCCATCCAATGCCACCAGGTTGCACCTCATGCTGTCCAGGAGCTCCGTGATGCCCTGGTTCAGATCTAGGAGGAAATACCCCAGGACACTATCCGTTGTTTCATTAGGAGTATGCCCTGACACTGTCAGGTATGCATACAAGCACACGGCAGCCATACAAACTACTGAGTACCATTTTGAGTTGCAATGAAATTTCAGCAAAATGGACTAGCCTGCTACTGCTCATGTTTTCACTTTGATTTTCAGGGTGTCTTTGAATTCAATCCTCTAAGTTGATTTTCATTTCCATCAACTAATGGAGAATCATTACGTTCCTAACACATTTACACCCCTCTAAATCATTGGATTCAGTTTGTTTCCAATCGCCTCAATGGCCACAGGTGTATAAAATCAAGCACCTAGACATGCAGACTGCTTCTACAAACATTTGTTAAAGAAGGGTCGCTCTCAGGAGCTCAGTGAATTCAAGCGTGGTACCAAGATAGGTTGCCACCTGTGCAATAAGTCCATCCGTGAAATTTCCTTGCTACTAAATATTTCACGGTCAACTCTTAGTGGTATTATAAGAAAGTGGAAGCAACTGGGAACAACAGCAACTCGGCCACGAAGTGGTAGGCTATGTAAAATGACAGAGTATGGTCAGCGCATAGTGTGCAGATGTCGCCAACTGTCTGCATAGTCAGTGGCTAAAGATCTCCGAACTTCGTGCAGCCTTCAGATTAGCACAACAGTGCATAGAGAGCTTCATGGAATGGGTTTCCATGGCCGAGCAGCTGCATCTAAGCCTTACATGACTAAGTGCTATGCAAACTGTCGGATGCAGTGGTGTAAAGCACACCGCCACTGGGCTCTAGAGCAGTGGAGACGGGTTCTCTGGAGTGACGAATCTCGCTTTTCTGTCTGGCAATCCGATGTACATGTCTAGGTTTGGCGGTTGCCAGGAGAACGGTACTTGATTACACTTGGCACAATGCAGTCAAAGTTTGGTGGAGGGGGGATTATGGTGTGGGGTTGTTTTTCGGGGGGTTGTGCTTGGCTCCTTAATTCCATTGAAGGGAACTCCTAAGACATCAGCAAACTAAGACATTTTGGACAATTTCATGCTCCCAACCTTGTGGGAACAGTTTGGGGATGGCTCCTTCCTGTTCCAACATGACTGCGCACCAGTGCACAAATCAAGGTCCATAAAGACGTGGATGAGCAAGTTTGGGGTGGAGGAACTTGACAATTACAATACAATTTAATACAGCAGGAATCAGAGGGTCCTATTTGTTAGAACTTAGTCCAAGAGGGAGGACTTTATGTAAAGCTTGTGTTTATTTCACTATAATAACTCAAATTTGATGTGCTTTCAGTAAAGTTAAACGGAGGGAGACATGTTCAGGGAATACTTCGAGGATTTGACCCATTCATGAATCTTGTGGTAGATGAATGCACAGAAGTGTCACCAAGTGGGCATCAAAATATTGGCATGGTGGTAAGTATGCAGATCACGAGTATGTCTGTTTTGAAGCTGAAGAAAATAGCCCCAGCACAATAACTGGTGAAACTCACAAATAACCATTTTATCTGACAGAGCTAAGCCCACCTATTAATGCAAATGAAAGGTGCCCAGGTGCAGTTTTTTTTCCTCCCGACAGTGACTTATTTATGGATGTACATGATGCCTTCCTACATTCTTCTAAGTTGTCATTCTCACTGGCAGTTCAGAGTGTTCTTGTTGGGCAATCTCATTAGACAGAAGGATTCTGCTCAGGTCCTTTTTTAACACAGTAAAACTAATTCACAGAGGGGCACAGAAAAGCTTTTATAGCAAAAAAAATTGTAGAGGCACTCAACGATGCCTGCTTTAAGCAGAATTTTTTAACTTTTATGTTCTCAGGGATTTTGGCGTTGTGTTTTCAGATGGGTGAGTAAAGGGAGATACATTTTATCAATACCAAACAGTCTTTAGGAATTATTTGCATTAACTCAGCGAATGTAAAATATAATCTCATATCAAGGTGCAAACGTCTAAAACCAGAAAAGTTGAAAGGCGCAGTGATTTAAAGGATAACTTCGCTTTTGGGACCATGTTTATTTTACACCTGTATTTAGGGTATAACATGCTCCTGTTCACCTGCTGCCAGAACCCCACTTCCTTTGATAGTGGACGGGGGATCCTTTCCCTCCACCTGCTGCCACATTTGCTTAAAAATTGGCGGGACTCCGCACGCACATCAGTGTTTTCATTTACAGCAGTCTGTGAATGAGAAAGCTACAAGTCCTGTCTGCCACTTTGGCAGATGGCTTGTAGTTCGTTCACAAGTCCTGCAGCTTTCAGACTGACAACCCATACGGACGTTTGTGCAGAAAGCTGTAGGGTTTCTCTACAGGAGCCTGACATTGCACAACTCTACAGGCTCCTGTGGAAAAAAACAAGTTGAATTTAGCCTTTATTCCTCATCATTGTTACTTTCCATGGCAAAAAAATGACCCTTGCCAAAAAGTATGGAACTCACGAGTTAGTGAGGTTAATGCACAATGTCTGATTTGGTGATTATATAGGTATGATTTTAAAGGAGAAGTACAGCATTTTTTTAATTTTTATAAGATTCTTTATACCTTTTTATATCATGGTATTGTATGTGGCAGCCTGCCAATTTTACTTTTATAGTGGTTTTATTATTGTTGGAAATTTTGCAGAGCACAAAATCATAATACTATGTGAATAACTGTGAAGTGTAAGTTAATATTCCATTTTTTTTTTTTTTTCCCAAGGTCATACGAGGGGAACAGCATTATTATGTTGGAAGCTTTGGAACGAGTATAGTATTAGGATATGATGAGCCTAACCTCCCCATGATCTCAGCCCTCAGTCATCCTACTGGATTCATACCCTTCACATTTGTTGTGCTGTTCATTTCTTTGTTTTTGTATTAAAATGTTTTCACTTACACTATGTTTGTCCGTTTCAATGAGCTCAATATGCTTTACTGAAACCCTATGTAAGCTTTGAGTCAGAGGTTGAAACTTTAGCAGTGCAGGAGACTCGCCCTCCCCATATTACAGTTCTTTGCCTGACAACCAGCTGCCAAGCAAAAGCACCCTCATATTCGGGGGGGGCGGGATGGGAATGAGTCACAGTTCGGGGTTTTATTTTTCACTCCCAGGGTATAAGATAAGTGGTGACAAGGTCACCTTAAGGTACAGCAACCGGGCCTGACTGATAGTTAAGGAAGTTTAAGAACAGAACAGGGGTATCTGCCGCTTTTAAGAACTGTAGTAAAATACCTCTTTTAGCGTTTTAAAAAAATATTGTTGCAATTCTTTAAAACTACTAAAATAGTGCACAAGCTATTATATGAAGTGATGCAGTATTTTAGTAATGAAAGTTAAGCGGTACTTTAACGCAGGCGGTAACTATTTACTGTTTTTAAAGATGCTGACATCTGCCCACTCCTTGACAAACAGCTATTTACTGGTTGTTCATGATAAACACATTCTTTAATTATTGCATGCCTGGACCACTTATTTTCCCCATGCATATATTTCCTGTAGTGAATTGACAGTCTGATGCAGTATTTACTGAGTGTTTTTGCTTTGCGTCTAATTCCGCATAAAAGGATACTGAATTGGCATTTTCATTGGAATACTAGTCAGTGTGCAAAAGTGTATTTGCATTGGAAAAATAAATCACCTTCAGTATTGGGTTTCCTACATATATGGATGTTGCTGCGTTCTATAAAACTATTAGAATCGTTTTTCACATTTTAGAATGTGGTGCCCTTTAAAATTATGGACAGTCCCGAGGCATCCCATTCTAAAATGTGGTGCCTCAAGACTGTCCATAATTTTAAAAAGGTGCCTTGACTGAAAAAAGGTTGAGAAACACTGCTGTAGAGCACGGGTGTCAACTGGCGACTCTCCAGCTGTTGCCAAACTACAAGTCCCATGAGGCATTGCAAAATTGGCAGTTACAAGCATGACTTGCAAAGGCATGATGGGACTTGTAGTTTAGCAACAGCTGAAGGGCTGCCAGTTTGGCACCCCTGCTCTAAAGCACATGCACTATATTGCCAAAAGTATTGGGACATCCCTCCAAATCATTGGATTCAGGTGTTCCAATCACCTCTATGGCCACAGGTGTATAAAATCAAGCACCTAGGCATGCAGACTGCTTCTACAAACATTTGTGAAAGAATGGGTTGCTCTCAGGAGCTCGGTGAATTCAAGCATGGTACTGTGATAGTTTGCCACCTGTGCAATAAGTCCATCTGTGAAATTTCCTTGTTGCTAAATATTCCACGGTCAATTGTTGATTATAAACAAATGGAAGCAACTGAGAACAGCAACTCAGCCACAAAGTGGTAGGCCACGTAAAATGACAGAGTGGGGTCAGCACATACTGAAGAGCACAGTGCAACAAAGTTGCCAACTGTCTGAAGAGTCAATACCTAAAGACCTCCCAACTTCGTGTGGCCTTCAGATTAGCACAACTATGCGTAGAGAGCTTCATGGAATGGGTTTCCATGGCCGAGCAGTTGCATCCAAGCTTTACATCACCAAGTGCAATGCAAAGTGTTGAATGCAGTGGTGTAAAGAATGCTGCAACTGGACTCTAGAGCAGTGGAGACGTATTCTCTGGAGTGACAAATCATGCTTCTCTGGAAATCCGATGGACGTGTCTAGGTTTGGTGGTTGCCAAAAGAGCGGTACTTGCCTGACTGCGTTGTGCCAAATGTAAAGTTTGGTGGTGGGTATTATTGTGTGGGGTTGTTTTTCAGGGGTTGGGCTTGGCCCCTTAATTTCCAGTGAAGGAAAGTCGTCAGCATAGCAAGACATTTTGTACCATCTCATGCTCCCAGCGTTGTGGGAAGAGTTTGGGGATGGTCCCTTCCTGTTCCAGCAGGACTTTGCACCAGTGCACAAAGCAAGGTTTGGGGTCCTCACCTCAACCCAATAGAACACCTTTGGGATGAATTAGAGTGGAGACTGCAAGCCAGGCCTTCTCGTCCAACATCAGTGCGACTTCAAATGCACTTCTGGAAGAATGGTCAAACATTCCCGTAAACACACTCCTAAACCTTGTGGACAGCCTTCCCAGAAGAGTTGAATCTGGTATAGCTGCAAAGGGTGGGCCAACTCATTATTGAACCCTATGGACTAAGACTGGGATGCCATTAAAGCTCGTGTGTGTAAAGGCAGGTGTCCCAATACTTTTGGCAATATAGTGTATGTCAAACAAGGCCTGCAGGATGAATTTAGGCCACCAGGCCCTGTCACATGGTCATCAAATCCAGTTTTGCAGCTGGATTGTGTCACTTGCAATTGTTCTCATCCTCGCTGGTAGAAATAGCGGAAGACAATCTGCTGCTGCTACTACTACTGCGGCTTCTCCTCACCTGCCACTTCCTTTTCGACATGTTGCTCTGATTATGAGACCCGGCAGTTCAGGCCACTGCTGATGAAGCCACGACCAATTAGAGGCAGGCGTATGGAACTTTTTTTTTTTTTTAAATCATTGGAACATGAGGTTTCTGCATATGTTGGGGCTCATCAAGCTGGGAACTGAGCTCCTGTAGTTACTATGGTAATGTCCTGTGAATGCTAATGTGTCAGGAGGAGATTTCACATAGCAACCTTTCAGAGGTTTTTTTTTCCTGACCTGGTTTGATTTTGAGCAAATGTCTGAAGGTTTTTGTTTATGAAATTTTCAGAGCATGATACTGAGCACGTAACTTACCCCAAAACTGCACGTAGCGTATGCCTGAATAATAAAAGAGTAGATATAGAGTCCTACTGATACATCTGGCCATTGGAAGGCAACCATGCTGATGTGGCTGTAATGCAATTGAGTTTGACACCCCTGCTCTAGAGCACATAGTATGCTAAGTCTCCAGACTTGTCTCTTTTCTGTGTACATGAGCAGGTTTTCATGGCTAAAAGCTGCTGAACCTGCTTGTAAAAGGCACCTATTACACATGCCTTTTGATGGTGAATGCCTATTTGGTGGGCATCTCTTGACAAATTTATCATGGAAGTGACTAGGGGAAAGCTGTTTCTAACCAATAAGAAAAAGCCTAGGACTCATATTCCTACAGATGCTATTTCTGCTGTGAACGTGGCCCAGTCACACTCCCCAGGTGTCAATCCCAACCCTAGGCTTAGCATTTACTTTTGTTACAAGCCCTGGCCCACTAAGTCCACCAAGCCTGCCCAGAAGCCCCGCTCACAGTGAAGGTGTAAGCCCACTTTTTGAAGGGGGGGATCTACTGGCATTTTCAGCAGTAAAGATCTGAGATATTCCAGCCCTCTTGGTCCAATCTGTCAATGGGGTATAAAATAAGAATTTCTATTTTTGCTCAGCACTAGAGCATTTCTCCTATTCAGCACTGTGCTACTTTAACTGGAAATTAGTCATGCAACACTACCCAAATGAAATTTATATCATTTTCTTGACCATACATCACAGGACACAGTAGGCTATTCATGACTATGTGGGTTATATACCACCTCTAGGTGAATGGACACTGGGAAACCAATCTGAGAGGAGGTCCTCCCCTCCATAACCCCTCCTACACAGGAAGTACTCCAGTTTTTTTACCACTATCTGTAAGGTAAATGGTCACTGAAAGTGGAGTGGGGGAGGGCACGATAGGAAGGGTCACTAATTCACTGCCATCAGGTCCTGAGGAACCTAGTCGAAGTTCTGCTGTGATATCCTCTCCTGGAAGGCCAGAGGTAATTGGGCAATTTGAGCCACTGCAGTTGTCTGGCATTGTGGCTACTACTGGTGTTTCTGCATCAGCATATGTAACCAAGGAAGATCTTGCTTCAACCTTAGCAGGATTAAAGGAAAAGATTGCAGGGATGTTTCACAAGGGGCTAAGGAGCAGGAGAGGTCCCCATCAACAGACCCACCAATTCTGGAGCAGGAATGGGTGGAACCTGAGGATGATGAACTGGAGGAAGGTCAGGCAGTAGACTTTCTATTGGAGGGGTCACAGCCTGAAGAGAGCAGGCAATTTCTGCATCTCAGTCCCAGGGGTTATTGGTGCAATACCTCACTGATATGGTACACTCTGGTTTCAGGCTACCTCTAGTAGAAATCTCTGAGATTACTTATTCCTCTCTGAAACCTCCAGAATGTTCAGGCCTCTCTAGTACATCCTCTCCTGGAGCAGATGTTGATTGGTATCACCCAGACAGGGTTTTGGTTCAGCAAAAAAATTTTCTTTTTGTGTCCCATAAAAAAAAAAGTTTAAGAAATGGGGTATGCCTGTAGTGAATGTGGTGGTTTCATCCCTAAATAAGTCCTGTAGATAATGTCCAGGTCAAGTGGTTCCTTGGAAGGTCTTCAGGGCATGGGGATTGTTCCGCGAGGATCTGAATGATGTTCCACATGCTTTATGTTTTGTGGTTGATGCTCTTAAGGATTCAATTCAGCAAATTTCTCAGTTGGCCCTCTCATCAGTACACATGTGCAGGGTTTTGTGGATAAAGAATTGGGCGGCAGAACTGCCATGCAAAAAATTATTGACATGTTTTCCCTTTCATGGAGAGCTGCTGTTTGGGGAAGATTTGGACAGGTATATCCAAAAGATTTCAGGGGGAAAGAGTTCTCTTCTACCCTTTATAAGGAGATCCAAGCTCCCTTATTTTAATAATGGGCTAAGGTTGCTGGCCCCTCATCTACCTGGCAGTCGTTTTGCCGCACACAGGCCCCAGCCTCCAGGGTAGAACTCAGAATCAAGACCCAAAGAGGCCCTGGGTGCAAAAGTCATCCAAGGAAGATCCAAAGTCTGCCTCCTTATGAAGAGGCACCCCCAC